TCTGAGTCCTGGGTGATTCTGATTTCTTTACATTCTAAAGTATTACTGGAGTGTGGGCTACATTTGCTTGCAGTTAGTGTTCCCTGCTATTTAATTTTTGCTATTTCTTCTTGAATCACTAAATGTGTTTTTCAAAGCTCAATGTATTTCTACAGTACAAATTAAATTATAACAAAATTCAAGACTATATTTATCTTCATTCTGAATTCTTCTTTGGACCCTAAAGAGTACATAATAAGGGAAAGAAAACTCTAAATTAGACTTCACAATATCTAAGTTCCAGCAATGAATATAGAGCCACCACATTCAGTTGGGTGTGCCTGGACACCTTTTATAGAGAGGCCCTGAGTTGTGCAACCCAGTGGATAGAGGGGCCCTCCCTGATTCTGTGACGTATTAGCCCATAACATATGACCACACAGTTGCACTGTCCCACTGCATCACTGTGCGATCATAGTGTGAAAGCATTTCATAAGTTAGATATTCTGTACAAATGAATTAAGACTTCGCTTTTGATAATCTCAAATGCAAAGAGTTTAAAACTAAATATATTATATTTTTTCATTATATTTTTCCTCTAAAACTGCCACTGTATTTCCTGACATTTAAATTCAATATCTAGGATCAATCGATAGATATGGATGTGTTTTAGATCCCTGAGTCACCTAATACCTAAGAGCTCTGAACAGGTGTCTGCTAAGAAACACATAATCCATTTGGTGGAGGCATATAATACCATTTTGTTTTCACAGATGGTGTTGGATTATTAAAGTGGAAATATGCCAAGAAGTTTTTAGAGCACCTTTCCATTTAAGCTGGACTTTGCATTACTTAAAGCTATTATAATTTAACTCAGTTCTAATCCTCTCATAGTGCAGTCTGACCAAATCCATTATTTGCTATACCTCCTACATTTCATTTTTCCTTATACTAACCCCTGCATCATACATAAAATTTTGGGGAGGAAAACATATCATTCACCTTCAATGTATTTAGCTTGTAGCCACATCTTTTTCCTTTCAGGGGGCAGGCAATGGACACCGGTGGGTTGAACCAGAGTTAGGAAAAACAAATAATGATAAATCTACTACTGACTGTTTGGCCATGAGGAAGTCACTTAATTTCTCTTTATCTCAGTTTGGTCATCTATTAAATAAGGTAATAAATTTGTTCAAACTACTAAGTTTTTAAAGGGCAAACAAGTGTTAAAGTAGTTCAGAATTTGTTTGTTGAGAAATAATGTAAATCCAAAGTATTAAGATTATTTACCTAATCATACACAATGTCTACCATTGGTCTTTTAGTTAATAAGGGTTACAGTGTTGAAGCGTAGAAAGATTTGGAATTGGACAGTGAATTCAGATCTTTCACTTAGCTCTGTGATTTGGGGCAAATTATACTTGCGTTTCTTTGCCTGCCTAGAAACTGAACTACTTTTGTATATTTGGAGAATTCCCCATCATATGCATTTTGTTGAACTATGTCCCACTATGGAACCCAAAAAGACCAAAAAGGCATTTCTCTGCCTCCCACTCCCAGCACCTAAGTTGTGGGCACAGAATCTCAGCTTCTCCAAACAGATGCTTCCATCTGAGACTCTGAACTCGGCTTGAGTGAAACAGGCAGAGAGCGTAGAAGTCATTTCGTCAATGGGAATTGCAGTGCTGCTACTATTTTGGTGGGGATGGCATCTCCAGAAGTTTCCATCTGGCTATTCCTACTAAATGGGCCTTATTGTATTGGTCAGGATGCTGATATTGGGATTGAGCTGGTTGTTAATGATACCTATCTCAACTTTATACTGAGGAACTGGGAAAAATCTAGAGGATGGATTTAAGGTGTGATATTTCATATCAGAATTTTGTTTATCACCTGACTCCTCAAAAACCTTTGTTCAAACAAATGGCCTCAGTGGAGGTCTAGGTTCCCAGCAATTAGTTTCAGAGCTGGTGCCAGCTAAGTCCAAAAAGAGCTGTGTAGTTTTTAAGCTGTGCTAGTATAGGGAAGGCTAGAGAACATGTTTACACTAAGGACTTGCAGCCATACTCTTTGTCATCCTCAACTAGTTAGTCTTCCTTCAAGTGTCACTGGATCTGTAAAAGTGCAGTCATCAAGTTATAGTAATTTTCCTCTCACCACGAGAATCTTCTCCGGGCAAACCAATTTATCAGAAACTACTTTGAATGTACCCCTAAGGAAAAGTAAATGTTGCTAATGTGCTGGAGCTCAATTATCTAGAATAGATTAAAATTTCAAGCATATGTGAATACTGAATAAGTGAATATCATTTAATGGGAAAATATTAAATCTGTCATTTTTATTACCAAAAATTCGCTGTGAGGTATGAGCTGCCTCAGGTCCATTTTATACTTGGACAAACAGGCAGCAACAGTCTCCTTAGTGAATGGAAACCTGGGATTTGAAATTTGTGGTTCATAAATTTAAAATATACTGACTCTAGGGGCTGGCCCTGTGGCCGAGCGGTTAAGTTCGTGCGCTCCGCTGCAAGCAGCCCAGTGTTTCGTTGGTTCGAATCCTGGGTGCGGACATGGCACTGCTCATCAAACCACGCTGAGGCAGCGTCCCACATGCCACAACTAGAAGGACCCACAACAAAGAATATACAACTATGTACCGGGGGGCGTTGGGGAGAAAAAGGAAAAAATAAAATCTTTAAAAAAAAAAATAAAATATACTGACTCTAGAAATAATATCTTAAAGGTACCAATACTAAGATATTTTTATTTCTTCCATATAGAATATTGAATAAATGACTGGTTTCAGAATTTATTTCACTCCTTTTACAAATACATTTTTAAAAAGGAAAATATTTAAAATGGATAATGCCTCATACAAAATATACTTCATCCACAGATCATATTAAAAGGAATTTTTTAATCTAAAAATAATTTAAAGAAATTTTAACAATCAAGGCTTATGACGAAACCATGATAATTACAACAATGGTTGACATAATAATAGACAATTTGACCAATGGAACAGATAGAGTACAGAAGCCTGGAAATAGAACTACTCCAGTATGGAAATTTGGCATATCCAGAGGTGGGAAAAGGAGAAACTATTGAATACATGGAGTTGGAAACAAAAGTTATCCATTGTGGAAAAAAGTCAAATTTGATCCCTAACACACACCATAATAAAAAAATCAATTCTACATGGAATGAGGATTGAAACTGCAAAAACAAAAATATAAAACTCCTAGAAGAAAATATAGTTGAATATTTTAAGATCTTGCAGTAGGGAAAGATTCTTAATTTACAAAAACCAAAAACAAAGAAAAATAAGTTTTACTATATCAAAACTGAGAAATTTTGTTCATCTAAAACACCTTAAGGAAAGTGGAGGCAGGAGGTGGGGAAGAGCTATAATGCAGGAGGAAACATTTGCACATTTGCAACGACAAAAGATTCCTTTAAAGGATGTATCTTTTAAAGCTCCTAAAAAATCAATAAGAAAAGCAGAAACTGTATGGATAAAAGACACAGACGTTTAACTGCAGATAAAATGCATAAGGGCAATAACTATGTGGTAGTCAATATTGTTACTGACCAGTGAAAGGTAAATCAAGACTGAAATGAGACACCACTTTGCAGTCGTTAAATTTACACAACTTTAAAAAGCTGGCAATGTCAAGAATCAGGAAGGACACAGCTTCCCAAGATCTCTTTTACATTGTCATTGTAAAGGTATACTAGCAAAACCATTCTGGAAAACAGTTTGACATTACCCCCAAAACTTGAACATTCATATGCGCCTGTGACGAGCAATTTTATTCCTAGGCATATACGCTAGAAAAGCTTATGCATATGTACAACAAGAGACAGGGACAAGAAGCTTAGAATAGCATTACTTGCAATAGCAGAAAGCTGGAAACAACCCAAACGCCCATCAACATGAGTAAACTGGTATATTCACACAGTAAAATAATATACAGAAGTCTTTGTAATATTACAGCAATGCAATTTGTGATAGGCTGAAAAATGGCCCCTCACAATATATTCACTTCCTGATTTCTAGAACCTGTGAATATTACCATAGATGGCAAAAGATGCGATTATGTTAAGGCTCTTGAGAGGAAGAGCTTACCCTTATTTATCTGGTGGGCCTGCATGGAATCACATGTATCTTCATAAGAGAAGCAGAGGGAATTCTGAGACAGACACACGTAGAAGAGAAAACAACGTGAAGACATAGCAGAGAGAGAGATTTGAAGATGCTGATGATGTGGCCACAAGCGAAGGAATGCTGGCAGCCACAGGAGCTCAAAGAGGCAAAGGGACGACAGCCTGCCAACACCTTGATTTATGCCGAGTGAAACTGACTTTGGACTTCTGGCCTCTAGAACTGAGAGAGAATAAATTTTTGTTGTTTTAAGCTACCAAGTTTGTGGTAATTTGTTACAGCAGCCACAGGAAACTAATACACAATTCATTGAGACATCCATAAATACAGCAAATGTATTATCTAAAATATTATTATCTGAAATGGAAAATTAAAAAGCCTCATTGTCCAAGACATAGGTTTTGTAAAATAAATTATACTTACATGAAAGGATATTCGGTAAAAATTAAGATAATAAATCTAAAGAAAGAGAGGGGAAATCTCCCTTAATTAAGATGCCACTGCATCAAGGCCAGTGTTCTTCTCTGTGGCCTTCATCGTACTGCCTGATGATGCATAGGATTACGAGAGAATATGAAGCATCCTAATCATGATAAAGCGATACAAAATGAGGTGGACTGATTATGGAATGGTGAGCAGGACGTTAGTTTTTCAGGATGTAAAGAAATGAGAAACAGGAATAAGGTTGTTGAAACATAGACAGGAAGAATCGGCAATTTGAGAAACACAGGAATGACCAGAGTTGTGGATAGCTTCCAGAGGGGATTCTGATTTCATTTGCATATGGGCTCATCCGCTTTCCCCATATAATATATCCGAGATTGTGGTTATCGAACTTTGACTGACATCAGACTCACCTGGGAAGTTGGTATAACCCCTTCAACCAGCCTGCTCTTCTGTGTGCTGTCTAAGTTCTCCAGGTGTTCTGGTACCCAGCAACATTTGAGAATCAGCGAGCTAGGAAAACACATGGAGGGAAAACAATAACATCACTGAGAGCCATGATTATTCCCTCAGAATGTAAGAGGAAACTTTATTCTTTTCCCTCGTTGTCATTCAAATCTAATTCTCTGTCCCTTCAAAGAAATCTAAGCAGATCCCATGACTTTTCTGATCACTCTTAGAAAATAACAGGTCCTTGGCCACTTTTAGTCACAAAATGTTTAATCTGGGTATTTAAATGACCATTTCCAAGTAATACTCAAGACTCTAAACGTCATTTAAAGCTTCCCCCTTCCTGGCTCAGGCTAAGGAATAGCTCAGAGTCTGCAGTGTGAGGAGGGCTCTGGTCACCCCCTTCTTAATAGCATTGTTCCTCTTCTCCATCAATAGGCTGCCTCTAGATCTTGTAGATTTGGGGGTGGTGTGTTAGAGAGCAGTAAGGTCCAAGAGAGCTCTCACTTGACAGGCACCAATGTAATCTGGCATTGGTTTCCTCTGAGCTTGGCAGGGATTTAAGCCTGACGCTTTCTCATGGAGTGGGTTCGTACTTTCTATGCGATTCCACCACTGGTCACAGGATTTCCCGCTGTTGCTCTTTTAACACAAGTGAGGTCTCCCCTGCCTAGAGATTCATGACTTCATCCTGATTTTCTGAGGCCTAGTCCACTCTCTCAAGAGCCTATGGCCCCTGCAAGGTGGCTCCAAGTATGTCTCTTCCGTGTGGCCCTCAGGAGACCCCAGGAAGCCCGTGCAAATTCTTCCTTGCAAAGACATCTGGCAATACAAGCTGTTCCCAAGGCAGCCAGTCTTTCGGCTTTTCTGTCAGCAACCTCTGTGCCCCAGACCCCAGCATGCAAGGCAACCTCTTTAAGGGGCTTCCTTGAATCCCCTCTCATTTGCCTTGAGGAAAGGTGGAAGGGACATCTCACAGGACTCCAAATTAAACGATCTCTACTTAAAGAGATATAACCAAAACAAACCAGCATGGAAAGGTGAAACATAAAGCAATGCATGACGGTGTATTAGGCAGCATCAAGAAAAATGAGACAAATAGTTGTATTAATTTGAACAAAGTAGAATAGAAAGTAGATTTTTTAACATGGATGGAAGAGGATCATTAAAATAAGAGATGAAACTCATGAAGTCTATCAAAATACATAAAGAAAAATTTGGGGCATTTAGTGATAATTTGACATAGGCACAATTTAATACACACTTCTCACTCCTTAACCAATTATATAGAATATATATAATGATATGAAACATTAGAATAATAAAATTCAGAGTTTCCTATTTATCAAATTTTGTAAACCTTTAAACAGAGAGTTAACTGGTGCACCTGACCCTTAAAATATATATATATATACATATTTTGCCAAAAAACCTAAACAAATTTCAAAGTGTCAAAAACTTGCTGCCTACATTCTCTCTTCAAAAGAATAAAACTATGTATTTATAGAAGAAATATTTCAGAAGGATCCCAATCATTTAACAACTCAAAAACAGTCTCTTAAATATTGGACCAGAAATGTAAACCTACAATTATACACCATTCAGGAACTAATGACGATGAGTGACCTATATCCAAAATTTACAGGAGATGGTCAAGGTGACCCTCAAAAGTAATTTTATATTTTAAATCATAATTTAAAACAGCCTTAAATGAGTTATTTGCCTTCTATTCCATAAACTTAAATTCAAGTATTTGGAAAAAAATCATAGAAATCTAGAGGAATTAGAAAGAAAAATAGTAACGATTTTGAGTCCTTAGAATACAATGCTAAATAAGACAAAATACAGACATTTGTATTTATGAAAACATTATTGCCTCCTTAATTTGTGCTGGCATTTTTCTACACATAAAATAGTGAACAAGTCACAGGGCTTGTCCTCAAGAAATTTAAAATCAGTGGGCAATAAAGTAAATAGGTAATTAAAATAGAGGGGTTAAGTTGTTCTCTGACAGTCGTAAGTACAAGGGGCCAGGGAGCAGGTAACTGGACCACCTACCAGCCATGTGATGACAGTGAAGGTCTCTAGAGGGACAGGACACATAAACTAAGCCCTGAGGGTAAATGGCATTATCCATCATGGAGAAGCGTATTGTCAGCACAGGGAGAAGCACATGTGAAAGGTGAGAGAGCAGAATAGATTGGAGAACTAAAAATATTTCAATCTTGCTAGGGATCAAATGAAGAAATGTGATCTTGGAGAGGTGAGGCTGAACTCTATCTTGGAAAGTCTTGTAGGAAATGTTAAGGAATTTCAACAACATCCTGAGGAGGTATTAAAGGATCGCAAGTAGGGATGTGACATGAGAAGATGTCACATAGAAATGTGACAGGATGGTGCATGCCATGCCATCCTCTCCATTCTAGGATGAGAGCAAAGCCACACTAGAATCAGGAGGGGATCATGAATCACGGAGAGTAGAGTCACATCATAGATGGGAGATGAAGTCAAGTAAGGAAATGAACACCCCAAACCCAAAAATGATGTAGGGGGAGACAGAAACTGAATATAAACAAATACTGACTGATTAAAAAGCAGATCTAAAAGTGAAGGATAAAAGTGAAAACATCAGGAGTGCAGGGCACAAAGGAAAAATACAAAACTCAAGAGAAGAGTGGAGGTGCAATACTATAAAATTAACAGGGGCATTATAAACTTTTCGATCAGAAGAAAATTGGCAAAGCAGCCGTTGGTCTCCTCGGGGAGAATAATTTCAGTAGAGAGCTGCACCACAACTCTGTTGGGTTTTCTTTAAGGTCAATTGGTAAAGTACTTTTTAGAAACTGGCCATTCAGTCCTATTATGTAATTTAACTCCCCTATCAATTAAAAACAAGAATTATATTCCCACTCCCGAGATGCCTAACGCTATTGCTTAGAATTCAGGTTTGTCTATGAAGCGAATGTGATTCCTTGGAACTGGGAGTGGTGGTTACTCTCCGTAAGGACTTTAAACAAAACAAAGCAAAAGCTTTATGCGAAAGGTCAAAGTAATCTTTCCAGTGGATCATTAACTTTAATAATACTGGAAGCTTTTAATAAAATAATATTCATTTCTCTAGCGCCATTCCCAGCAGTGGTGCTGATATAACCAAAGTAGTGTATATTAGAAGTGAGAGGCTAAAATCTAAAATGGGAATAATGGGAATATATTAAAATTGCAGCAATAAGTTCTTAGGGATGTGATTAGTGAAGCATCAGTTTCTCTCCGCTGATGTGGCAAATCTCTTCCCAGTGCCACGGAGCCCTTCCAATTCCATCAATTTGGTTACCAGTTATTCCAGATATCCATCAATGCTAGCCACTAATATTATTTTTCTCCATGGTATTTTTTAAGTAATCTGAAAGATAAAGTGGAATGGAAATAACTCATTTGCTCTTGCTATAGCCATTGTCCAACTCAAAACATTAAGTGCCAACTCTGAGCGTTATTGTGAATACCATATTAAATACATCAGAAGCAAAAAATGATTATGTTGATACACTCATAGATGAAGTTAGGATTTGCAGAATTTTAGTAAAATTGGAGTTCTAGGATTACATATGCATATAATTAGCTGTTCAGTCATTTATTCAATCAATGAATCACACATGAAATGTCTATTGAGCATCTACTCTGTTCCAGGTCCTGTTCCAGGTCCAGGGAGTAGAGTGAACAAAACAGACAAAATCTTGCTCCAAAAGAACATCCTAGTGTTGCCTTGTAGAAGAGTTCATTCCAGGAAATAAGACAAATTCATTATGCATGACATTTTGCCTCTTTTGAAGAGAAGACGTGTGTATTTGAAAGCTTTAGAGATTAATTTGTGATACATTTTTTCTCTTCTTCCCAAAGACATCTAAAAATATTTATTATCTCTCTGACAAAAAAATGAAATAATACTTCTCTTTTGAAGGCAAAGAAAAAAGGTCTGTAATGTAATTTACTTTATTGCTTATGAGAAAGAATTCTAATAACAGCACAGGATGTTTTTTAAAAAGTAATTTAAAGAAATTATAATTTCACATTGGGAATCTGTCAGCCAAAGACTTGACTCCCCAGTCACCTGCGTATGTGAAGATTCAGTAATCTCCAGATGTGGCTCAATTACACCAATAACATGAGATGAAGCAGACGTCAACTCATGTCTACGACTTTCATAGCTCACTTCTAATGCCTTTGTTTTGCTTACATATTCTGAACAATTGTTCATCTTTTTGCATACTCATGAGTGATGCCATAGTAAGACGTGACAAAAACGAGACCCTTTCACAACTATTTTACTTAACAAAACATTCTCTCTTATAAATTCAAACAACCTGCATAACGGTAAGTGCACAAACTTCTGTGCTTTTCTTCTTCAAATTCCACAGGTACTTCATCAAATTTCCCACAATTTCATGCTTCTGTTGCAGACCAGGCCATATATTTTATTGTGACTTGCTGCAGAAAAGTTTTTACACCTTTATGTAAGTTGATCCCAGTCATATTTCCTACTTTGATGAGCTTCTTTCAAGTTAGGATATATTTTGACGTTTTCAATGGGTCTCATGTACACATAAGTTGTTCTTTCCGTGCACAGTTTTCTCATAGTGTGCTGTCAAACAAGCTGAGGAAAGATTGGCCTCATTCTCTATGCTTGATGACATTCTTGTATTTTTTCACTTAGTATTGAATGTATTCTCTTTTATGGGAACCTACTTGTAATTCATATGTTGAAATATTTCTTCTTTTCCTTTCAATCTAATTTAATCAATTAATCAATAATGCCACAAACATTTATTTGGCCCCATCTCTGTTGGAGGCACTATTCTAGGTGCTAACAATATGCCAGTGAACAAAATAAAAATTCCTGTCCTCATAGTGCTGCCATGCCCTCTTAATACTTGTTGTTATTGTTAATGCCATTGAGTTGATTCTGACTCCTAGTGACCCTGTGGACAGCAGAGCAGAACCCAGCCCAGTATTTTTGCACCATCCTCTCACCTTCAGGCACTGTATCAGACAATGCTCTGCTGCTGTTC